TGAGGACAATCCTCTTGCAAGACGAACCTAAGATCATCTATCACTAGAATAGTGTTTAGATTCGATTTCCATTGTTTGTAATTCTCGCCGTTAAGTTTTTGAACCTATATTAGTTTCATGCATTGGCCTTTTAAACCCAGTCATATTTTAACAAAAGTAATTAAGCACCCTAACAAAATTGTTTTGTAACGACGCTTCAGTGTTTTAGATCAACAGTCACCGTAGGGCAGACAGGTACTTCTTCACTGAATTGAGACGTTCTCAACTAAATTTTATACCAGAATAACTCTTATTCCTATTAAATTTAGTCATCGTTTATTTGGTCAGGAAATTGCTAACTGACTTAACAACTCCCTGTAAGTGTGACCCGTCATTTTCGGACCTCAGAGATCTACTCCAATAATCCCGCCGTAGGGAAAGAAAATATTGGAGCAAAACCTAAGAGACCCTTATCCATTTCTGGAGTTTGCCTTGATTTTGATTCCATACAATGAACCCTCCGTAGGGATGGTCGCTCCAGGACAACACGCAGGTCATGTATGAAACCTCACGATGCAAACCAATGGCGGAGACCGCAGGATGTGTTGTCACACGTCCTTCTCCCACTTACTATGAATACTATCTCCATTCACCTCGATATTGAACCATGCAAACACCTTTCGTAGGGAGGCCGCGCCCAGGGCGACACGAGGCCGAGCATGGAACTCACAGTGTGAATATAAAGGAGAACGTGATAGAGAGAGAAAAGTATGTTATATATACTTTGTATATCAAATATATACGCTGTATATTACATATTCTTTTTAGCTCCCACTTAATATTCTAAGACTAGGGTATATTACTTAGATAAATCCCGGCTAAGTGAAATTAACTAAGTGATTTTTTTAGTCGGCCAAATATAACTATTATATTGGTATATGTACAATAATGTTTTAGTTCATTAAACACTTTAATAAACCAACGACATTATTGCATGTATATAAAATATTGACTAATTCAACCCCCAGGTCGGT